AATTTAGGTACTACAATATCATATCTAAAATACCTGGGAGGCATAAGAGACTACTGGGTGATTTAAGTAGTCAAAAGCTAGCAAATAATGATATAGTCATTTTTAGGTGGATTGACTTATTATAACTTGCATAATAATATATGTATATATAATAATATATTATATAGTATAATGTCAGTAACCCAAAGATCTGAACGTTACATAACCAAGGTCCTTTTAGAAAACACAGTAGAAAAGATACAGACCTTCCCCCAGGTTGTCTGCCTTTTATTCCTACCTTTTGCTTGTATGCATGCCATTACTCATAGTTCAGTTGTTGATTTTTCAAGAAAGAAGTCAATTACCAGTCAAAACCCTGAGAGTTTGCTGACGGCGAGTCTTTTCATTTTATTATGTTAATCAAGGACATTTGCTGTTCAGAAAATATAGGCTCTCAAAATGCACAGAACGTACAGACATTAATAATGTTTTTGTTGGACTATTTCAACAAATGTTCTTATTTCTGACAAGAAAAAACTGCTACTGAGGTCACTGGTACTTTTCCTTTGCCAGGCACTCAAGGTAACTTATGTGAACAGTCTACATACTAGACTTATTGCTGTTTAAGCATTGCAATAAGTTAAATGGTGGTGGTCATGCACTCTTTAGTATTGACTAACAAAAGGGAGATTCAAGAAATGTTTCTGTTGTTCACATGTAAAACCCAACCTTTCTTCTTTCCAATATATTATTATAAGGCAGACCAGCAGAACACGTTTTGGTATACTTTTTATTCTTTTATGCTTGCATAGACTCTTTTAAACCGGACAGAAAATTATCAGGTTCTTCCTGCTGGCATAAAGAAATTGAAAACAAATTGGATGCTCTGCATATGCAAATAGTATATGGCCAGGCGGAAACCTGCTTCCTATAGTTTCATCATGGCAAGAGTGGTAGAACCTTTGAAGGCATAATAACCAATAAAGGGAATGAATACTGCTTATAAGACAAAACTTGCAGTATCAGATTTGTCAAAAGGTGGGGTAGCAAAGTGATATCAGAATAACAAGCTACAATTAATTACAAATACATTATAGCAATACAATGAGATGCAGTACTTGTTCTGTCACATTTCTCTCCACCCACATGCCATTCATATGCTTAATTACATTTAAAAAAGGTAGTACTGGGCAGCTCTACTTGAATATATAGGGGTTGATTTACTAAAGGCAAATAGGCTGTTCACTTTGCAATCTTTGTAGGAGAAGCTTCCCCTTAGTTTAGTGAATGGGATGAAGCTCTGCTGACTACTATCAGCCAGTCATGTAAGGGTAAAAAAAAGTGTTTTTTTTATTTTCCAGTTCAGTAAGATTTTATATTTATGTTCTTAGAGCTTATCTGACCTAAAACTAAAATAGCAATGAGTAACCATTTTCAGAGTTTGAACAATATTCACTGTAGTAAGCATACTTTTCTTATTGTATCTTTTACTTAAGGTTTATGTTTTGTTGTAATTCTTCAAATTCTGAGCTTTGTTTGTAATGATAAAGGCCACATTGTGTCATTGAAGATTCTGTGAAATCTGTTAAAAATATGTCTGCTTCCATATGAATGCGGAGACATAGATTGGAGATTCTTGTGTTCTGAAGAAAGAATAGCCTGACTTCTTAGCAGATAGTGAGTGTGAGAATATATCAGCTATGACATATATGCCTGGGAATCCCTAATTTAATAGCAGGATGTGCTCATACTAACAGAGTTCACAAGGCACATAGCAACTTCTGTTCATCCCATACATTTCCAAAAACATGGTTGGCTGCATAAAGGGGGAATTCAAGCACATGGAAGCATCATCTGTGGCGTCACACAGAATATTTATCATATTTGCAAAAAGATACTATATATATAGAAACTGCACTTTTTAGGATTCTATTACCATAAACCATTATTGGTTATTTTCTCACAGTTAGCTTGCACTTTTAATGCAGTTAAGCTTATTGTTTAATCCCTCCACCCCCAAATCCCCTCCCTAATCTTATGTTAATATAGATAGAGATAGGAGGTTGCAGAGTCGCTTGTCAAAATCTCGTCCAGGCTCATGCATGCGTTCTGCTATCTCCATTGAATCCTATAGAGATCTTGACTACATTTTACTTATGAGCTCTCAGTGCGGTTCATCATAGGCTGTGGTCTGCATTTTAGACCCCTCCTCCTGTCAGTCATTACAGCCTACACACTTTTCATTTGACCCAGATGAGTCAATCCAGATGCCAACATACAAAACCCATTTCTCAATAGGACTTTCCAAATGCCCAGACTGTTATAAAATGTTGCGTTTAGCTTTTATTGCAGCAACTGAAAAGGATATACATGTGCTGAGCTTTGAAAATACCATCATACCAGGAGTGAAAAAAGTTGCAGTGGTATCATAACATATTCATTCTGGCAGAATTGCCACTTTTGCCTATCATATTTCCTGTCATTTGCTTGCCAGATGGAAAAGTCTTTTTTTGTGGTATCCTTAGTCATGCAATGGGTGAGGCTATCTTGAGTGCTCACTACAGACTCATTGTTCCATGGAAAAATGTTGTGTGCGGATGTAAGTATCAGCCAGTGTCAGCTACTGCTGTGTCATAGGAGATGTTTACACATTACATAGACAATGGATGTATGCCTTCATAAATACACAGATATCTCATTGTAAGAACAAAAACAGATTCATTTGTATCAAACATCATTGTCAGCCAGTGTGTTTTGGAAACAGCAAGTAAGTTGACCTGATGGTGAATTGCAAATGTTATCAGTGAAAAAAAATATTTCATACAGCCTGCATCCAGTCAAAACAAGATGAATTTAAAAAAAGTCCAGCCTCCAGAAAAGAAGAGACAGACCTGATGGGAACCTCCTACAAAATGTATATATCACCCCATACCTTAGAATGACATCATACACCTACCCACTCAACATCAGAACTGATGGGGAACGCCATCATTGTAACTACACAAGCTAAACCCGCCAGTGTCTGTCACTGCTGGTTTATCCTTTAGGTCATGTGATACTGTTCAGCAGTGAGAAACACTGGAGGGTATAGCGTGTGTATTTACAATGATGGCGTTCCCCATCAGGTCTGCTGTGTCAGGTGAGCAGGATTATGATGTCATTCTACGGTATGGGGTAATTTTTTGTAAGCGGTTCCCCATCAGGTCTGTCTGTTCTTTTCTGGAGGCTGGACTTTTGAATTAATAGCTGGCGACGTACACTGTACGTCGTCAGTCACGAAGGGGTTAACTTGATGTAGACTATATCAGTTTTTTCACAAATTACAGTTGCAGTTCCCCACCAGGCCTGCCTACATGCTTTTGTCTGGTTATGAGAAAAAATAAAAACTATTTTCACACAAAGTACTTTTTAGAGTTAACATTTTAATTCCAGGTGGTAATGCAACAAAATAGGAAAAATGCCAAGGTGGGTGAATACTTTAGCAAACCACTGTATATATACATTTAATAGCCTTTTTAGTAGCAACATTATTGGGGTCATTTAGCATTTTACAAAAAAGAAAATGCATACTCTTGTTTTATGTACTTGCTGGGGGTTGAAAAAAAGAGGCTGTTCACTTAGCACAGTGAGTGGTCACTTTGACAGGTGTACGTTTCTTTTGCAAAGTGAACAATAGTAAGGTGAATCTTTGTGAACATTCACTTTGCTAAGTGAACAGTCCCTATTTCGAATGGAAGTTGGAATGGCAGTTCCAGCAGTTGAAACATATGTGTCTGTCTGTGGTATGGTTACATTTTTCACCTGCAGTGAGGTTACTGTAGAAACTGGGTTGGACTTAATGGAAAGCCGCAAGGCTTTGCAGTACAGGGGGTGTCAGCAACATTTCATAGGCACTCTAACAATCATTGACAGTTGTAATGCAGCAATGGAAGTGGAATGACAGGTATGAAGTCAAAAATACTTCATATGTTTATGTCAGAATGATACCTTAATAATAAAAGCACAGTTTGTAAGAGACAACACTTTTACATATCTGCCTCAGCCCATGCATTTATATTGCATCATTTTCAATAATATGTTAGTTTTCCCCAGGGCATGGGAATATAAATGTTGACATACTTTTTAGCTTTTCAGTAGGATTTGTTTTAGAATATGAATTAATTAATATCTCTATAGGGCTTTCCTCCCTTGGGACTCAGAGTGCTTTTTTTTAGCCATCTTGGGTACGATCAGTAGAATTTCATACTTTGGGCCAGTTTTAGACAACAGCCAATTAAACTGCAAGAATATTTTTGGAGTGTGGGAGAAAACTGGATGAGCCGTATAAATAGGGTAGAACAGATAGAACATGCAAACCCCACGCATATAGTGTCCTGACTGGGACTCCAACTAAGAAGCCTAGTGCTGCAAGTCTAACTGGAATGTATCATTCTGCCAAGTTGAAAAAGAATAGTATTTGGGTTTGTGCAATGCATTAATGGTATTGGTCAAAATTTATATTTTTGGGGGGGTTTATAAAATAACATTCCCTACCATAATATGATGTTATATGTACTTGCATCACAGTTCAGTACAGAAGTAACCAGTGATATATATTATACATAGATTATACGTAGATTGTTTACAGTACATTTTGTCCAAGCTTTGTAGAAAGTACATAGTCAACTGGGGTATTACTGTCAGACTTTGCAGTTGCATTGAAATGTAAGGCTCTATTTTTATATTTCTAATTGTATAATTAGACTTGATGACCATTATGTTTAATATGTTGCTGGTGTTAGTATTTGCTTGTAACTGTTTTCAAGTAATAAACGAGTAAGAAAAGTGGCTTTAGGTGTTTTAGAAGGTTTTGCAAGGGTACATTTTGTAAACTTTGATTTTTCTCAAGATGTATATATAAACAGTATATAAATCTCAGAGTAAGAAATATGCATTGCAAAATGTTATTTCCCAGTATGATGTCTGAATGTGCATGGTATCATGGATTTTATTCTAATTTGTGTTTTTGTTTTTTTTTGTAGCCGAAACTGCTGGCCAAGGAGCTCCTTGATTTAGTAGCATCACACTTCAATCTGAAAGAAAAAGAATATTTTGGTATAGCATTTACGGATGAAACGTAAGTATAAATTGCAATAATCAGAAACTCTTATTTTTGATAGATTACATCACACATCAGATGAGGAAAATGAGTGTCACTGGAACAGGAAGGGACAGCCTGCAATAAAAATCTCCAATGGGAACACAGACGATAATATAAACTTAATTAAAAGTGACACTAAACTCAGGAGTTAAATCTTAAAAATACATTCAAGTACCTTAACTATTTAAAAAAATGTATCTTATTGTGTATCACTTAGCTATAGATCCTCAAATCATTTCTGAATTGGTGCTGACACAGTCCTTCCTTCTGCAGGGTGGCTACTTTTGTTCCCTATGGTCCCTGTGTGATGTAAAGTAGCCATCGCTCGAAGCTCACTCCCATGATGGACTACAATCTAAACTAAAAGTGAGCTTGTAGTCCAGGAGAAGTGAGCTTGGAGCGGGGGCTACCTTACAACACACACAGGCACCATGTGGAACAAAAGTAACCACCCCCCAGATGGAAGGACAGTGTCAGCACCAATTCAGAGATGATTTGACGATCTACAGCTATAGTAATAGCCGCAAATGTGCGTAATCCGCGCGTATGTTAAAAAAGTTTTGTTTTCGTGCCATCCGGTTTTCCGTGTGGTTTTAGCACCATATGTGATATACAAATAAGATACATTGTTCTTAATAGTTAAGGTACTTAAATGCATTTTTAAGGTTTCACTTTAAAAACTACAAAAAAAACTTTGGCTTTTCAATGGTATTTTAACCATTTGAAATACACAACATACTTTTTTGGAGATGCAAAATATTTTTTTTATTGTGAAACAAAAGTAGACATTTGTTGTTTGTTATTTAATACTTGAAACCGCCTTTGGATGCATTTATAGCTGTATTTCTTTTGGGATACGTTACTGCCAGCTGTGCACATGTAGATACTCTACATTTCTTCCCCTATTTTATTTAGAAGCAGTGACAGGTTGGATAAGCACTGTTAGTAAACAGCAGTTTTCAGTTTTCCAACAGATTCTCAATAGGATTGAGTCTTGAGCTTTGAATGGCCATCCTAAGACATTCAGGTTCAGTATTAAATTAGTATATTTGCTTTTGCTGTGTGTTTAAAGATTTTGGTCCTGCTTGAAGGTAAACTTCCTCGCCAGCCTTAGGTCTCCCGTAGTATAAGACAAATGTTCCTCTAGAACTGCCCTGTATTTGGTCAGTAATAAGAGCAAGATGGATGGAGCCAATTTCTCAGTCCTGCTAATGAAAAGAATCCTCACAACATGATGCTGCTACCATCATGCTTCACAGTGGGAATGGTGTTCTCAGGGTAATGATCAGTGTTGGGTTCCTGCCACATGTAGAGTTTTGCACTATGTTTTAAAAAACGATTTTCAAAAGATTCACTGTTTTCGTAATTAGCAAATACATATTCTCACTGCTCTTCTTCAGAAAATGAGAAATGTCAATGTTTATTATGCTTTTGTTGTTCATCTACATCTATAATCTAGATGCAATGTTCTCCCAGACCACTGCTGATATCTTTGTACTACCCAAATAGTCACATAAAGGTACATGGGAAGTATTTTGCTGTTTTATAAACACTGTGGGGGGAATTTATCAAAACAGGAGCAGACAGAATGTGGAGCAGTTGCCCATGGCAACCAATCAGCATCTCTCTTCAGTTTGTTCAGGTAAGATTTGAAAATGAGACAGAGAAGCTGATTGGTTGCAGTGCAAATCTGCTCCAGACTTTGTTTGCTTACGTTTTGATAAATTCCCCCCGTGTATTTTCTACTTCTTTCAGGTATGTTAAGTAGGTGACATAAGCAACACCACTGCTTATTATTTTCACTTCCCTTATTTATATCATTATAAGCATATGCTAAGATATCCACTTTGGAGCTTGTTCTGCTGTTTCCAATGTTCACTTGTCGTTATTATGGATACACTTACCCACCACTGGGCAAAACATTAGTGCAAGTACCCAGTTCACTGTTGTGGTGTTTGAGAATTAGAAATCATTTTTATGAATTAACTTATGTAACAACGCAGTGTATAAAAGAGATTCTTTTGTAAAATACCTAATTCTATTTAAAGTTGCCCAGGGATTCATTTCATCCCTGGGTTAGTGGGTTAGAACTCTATTGAATCATGTGGTACATGCCCTCTTCACCAGTCGGCTGTGATGTAACGCTGAACACTTCCCAGAAATGTAAATTGCATTTGATAGTATCTGTAATCTTTAAATGTGTCCTCTATGCAGAGTCACTTTCACAGCAGGCAGTGCTGATTTTAGACAAGATGAGACACACGGCAAAGTTTGAAAATGACCACACCTTTATAAAATTACAAAGAAAAAAATAATAAGCCAATTAGAGAAAATATCAAGCTAACAGTTCATTTCCATTATATTATTGTGACAGTGCTTCCCCATATAGTATTTTAATGGTTAGCCCTTGTATAGTTGCAGGCAGTGAACAAGCCTATTTATTAGTGTCCCCCTCACCTCAAGGAAGCAGTTTCCTACATCCCTACTGCTGTCTCAAGTGCCTTACATGGACGGTAAATTCAAAACAATACGCTGGAGAGTGTGGGCAGCATGATGAAATTCAGGTCAGTGGGTCAGGATCTACTACAGGCAGATCCCAAGAAGGTTGAGACCGCAGGGAAATGCTCTTTTTGCCCCACCCAAATGACTGTCCTCAGGGGCACATAGTAGAAGTGTTTCTTCAAAGCGTTGTATGAAATGAAAACATATCCCATTAGTTCACCTATGTACAATCAATTGTAATTTTCTTACTGAATATTTCCATGCACTATTCTGGTCTATGTAAAGCAGCGGTTCTCAACCTGTGGGTCGGGACCCCTTTGGGGGTCGAATGACAATTTGCCAGGGGTCGCCGGGAGTCTCCCACTATTAGATAGCTATTAGATTATCATCATTATTATTAATAATAAAAGCTGACACCCTCGGCTTGTGTTATATGGTTTGCCATTTTAGCTGTTACAACAGTGGTTCTCAACCTGTGGGTCGCTGTGTGATTTCTGCTGTGCTAGGTGAGAGTCCTCCTCAGCCCTCTCCTAGCGCAGCAGTGTCAGTTCTCCCGCCGCGCCACCAGATGTCGCTGCAGCAGCCGCGTCAACCTTAAATTTTACCGTTGGGGGGTCACCACAACTTGGCAAATGTTACCAAGGAGTCCCGGCCCTAGAAAGGTTGAGAACCACTGATGTAAAGCAAGACCACCAACTATAAACCTGTAGATAAAGCAAAACATTTAGAAATAAAGGCTGTATTTCTTTGGAATTGTGGTGGTGTCTTCTGGAAAGAATTAGGGGGAAAAAAACCCGTCAGTAAAGCAGTCTTACAAATCTCATCATAAAGCAACACTGAGATTAAATTATTATTCACTGTGAGAGTGAATCATAGTTCATGTTTTTTTCCTCACTGCTGTTTCTTGGACCAGAATGTAGTTTGGCTTAACCCGCAAAAGAGTACTATTGTGTTATGATCCATAGCAGCTAATTGGATAGTCATTTTTAATAGTTTAACTGGTCTTAGACAAAATAAATCTAATAACTGGCTATACATTTTATGTTATTCATGTTGGTAAAATATGTGTCATTTTATGAAGAAAGACACTTTTTATGTAAGTATTTTAATGGGTATTGGCTACTGCTCAGAGTAGCCATTCAGGCCAAGACAATGCAGGCACCGAAGATAGAAGTGCTGATGTCTTTCTGAGAAATATCATTGTTGTACACATGGCATAGATGAATAAAATAAACATGCTTATTATAGACCAAGTCTAACTAATCCAAGTACCCAGACAGTATATCTGGAAGGTCTGTGGCAAGATTTTTTGTGAACTAAAGCAAGATAACATCCAGTACAGAAGGGCGAAAGACAGAACTAGGAACTCTATCAAAGAGATCTCACCAAAAGAGTCCGAAAGAGTTGTGAGAAGCCAAACATTAATTCATCTTGCTGGCAGCCACTAAAAAATGAAGTATCAATTTTAGGTGGTTTTAAGCTGTACTGTGAATAGTATTATATATTTCATTAGTTATGATATATCTCTTTTTCTGGGTGGCAAAAAGAAAAGTAGTAGTAAATATGCTCAAAAAGAAAATATACTCTGATTATAAAATAAAGGTACTATCATGCCTTTTAAGAACGGTATGCCTAATTAAATATTCACAGGGTTATTCACAAAAGGGTGAAGAGTTTGGAGAAGGCAGGAGAAGTGATCAATCTAGGACAAAATAGCTGAAGTGGAAAGTGAGCTGAATTGGAGAATTTTTCCAAATCAGCTATGTTGTCCTAGATTGTTCACTTCTCCTGCCTTCTCCAAACTCTTCACCCTTTTGTGAATAACCCTGTCAGTGTCTGGGATTATATCAGGTCTTGTTTCCATGTCCAACAGCTATTAAATTTGGGCTTATTTACTCCGAGTCAAATACATATATGACCTAGCTAGGTTTTTTAACTACCATTACAAATATAATAACAGCAGGTGTGACTTGCCATGAAAAAATAACACACATGTATTTTGATATTTAGCATGTGTGATATTGTTAAACAGTGAATTTAAGAATCTGAATGCTTTCCTTATTCTGTAATAAGGGTAATCTTCCATCAGACCAAAATTGGGTCACATAACCAGTGCTGTTGCAGTGACCCTGATGCCTCTGGGCAAAAAAACTTGGAGTACTAAACCATGATGATATTGTATAGGCTGAGTATAAAAAATAACTGTCTAATCACAATGGGCCCACTTTAATTGTTTAACATATTTTATTTATGATTGTTTGGTTTGAATTCATGCTGTATATATGACTGAAGCAGTGTGGTTTCATAGGTAGCACTGACCTCCTAAGGAGCTGCTGGATTTTAACAGGTCCTCCTAGACTTCCTACTGGTGATTTGCCTTGTAGCTCAATAATATAGCTTAATTCCTATTGTTTTTGTCTTTGCCAGGGGGCATTTGAACTGGTTACAGCTTGACCGAAGAGTACTTGAACATGACTTCCCCAAAAAGTCTGGTCCAATTGTCCTGTACTTCTGTGTAAGGTGAGTTGCTCTCCAGCATCTTATATTGGTAAAAGTTAAAGCAAGGAATACAATTTTCCAAATTATATGAGCAGTTCCTGGCATTAGGTAATATTCTCACCTTGCCATGCTGTATTTAATGTTAAAAAAAATGTCCATAGTAGGGGAGTAGGCTTGTCTTTACAGTCCAGATGCCAAAGCTGCAATTGTGGGTTGTGATGTAAAAATGTAAGAATTCTCTTGAAATACACTATCTAGCAGTATATCTAAGAGTTCTCATGTACATCTACCTCTACCTGTAATGATGAATATTTTACCAGTATCTATCTACAGAGCAATTTTCTATACACTATGCCTTTGAAAGTATAAGCATGGATTCTTTATGAATGTATCTATATCAGATTTTAACAGTTCATTTGCCAAAATCCAGCTTCTCCCAGTACCATGAGTCTGGAAAAAAAATGGAGACACACATTTGCTATAGCCAACAGCAATAGAGAGAAATGAACTCTAAATATAGCTGAAAATCTTCCCTGATGTCAGGTTTCTTTACAGATCTATTATCCCTACATCTGGTATTGTGGAGTTTTTGCTCTTAATGAAAAGGTTTGGGAATTCTAAGGAAAGCCTTGCCGTTGTGAAATTAAGAATAATTCGTGTTGAGTTATATTCCTTCTCTTCCAATAACCAGAGCTCACTGTTATGTGAGCTCTGAGGCACTAATGGTCAGCATTGGGGGTTAGAGCTATAAGAGTCTTGGAGGTATCTTAGATTCTAAGTGATCCCATTCAGAATGAGGCCATAGTCATTTAATTAATCTTGTTATTGCATTCATAAGAAAACTATGGAATTTTCTTTTTTTAAAACACCCAGTTATGCAAGTTACTTTGTTACCAAGTTGTTGTAAAATCAGTGCACATGTTTCTGTGTTTGCAGATGATACTAAAATTGGAAGGGTAATAGACACAAGCTTAGATATTATAACATTACAGGATGACCTGGATAAAATAGGGGAGTGGGCAACTATATGGCAGATGAGGTTTAATGTTAAAAAATGTAAAGTAATGCATTTTGGGGTTAAAAATAGGCAAGTGGAATACACATTAATGGGTACTCCACTAGGGAAGTCGGAAATGGAAAAAGATTTGGGGGGTCATAATCGACCACATATTGAATAACAGCATGCAATGCCAGGCTGTGGCAAACAAAGCTAGCAGAGTACTGTCATGCATTAAAAAGGGAATGTACTGTAGAGACAAAGCAATACTTTTGCCACTTTACAGATTACTGGTTCGGCTACATCTTGAGTATGCAGTTCAATTTTGGTCACCAATCCACAGAAAAGATGTCCTTGAGCTAGAGAGAGTCCAGAGAAGGGCAACAAAACTAATTAAGGGACTGGGAGACCAAAGCTTTGAGACAAGGTTGCTAAATATAAATTTGTTCATGCTGGAAGTGAGGAGATTAAGATGGGACATTATTTTGATGTATAAAATGTTTAGTGGTGATGGCAACATCAGCAATAAACGTTTTACTATAAACTCCCTAAAAAAGACTAGATGCCACCACCTAAAATTGGTAGGGAAAAGATTTAACCACAAAGGGCGTAGGGGATTATTTTCTGTCAGAGTGGTTACATTTTGGAACTCTCTGCCACAAGCAGTGGTATCAGCAGAGAGTATTGAATCATTCAAAAATCAATTAGATACCTTCCTAAGAGACTGTAACATTCAGGGGTACTGGTACTCTTAAAAACTAAGACCATACAGGGACTAATATACACACATGCACACACAACATACACACAGACACACATAGGTAGAACATGATGGACCTGTGTCTTTATTCAACCTCAAATACTATGTAACTATGTATCTTTTCAAAACATATTTCATGTTTAATGATCTACAGACCTTGGGCAATTGCCTCTATCTGAACTAAAAAAATATAGCAATAACATTACAAACTGTGTATGGAAACAACTTGAAATGTGTTGCCCACTATAACTAAAACTAAAATAATTCTTCTATATTTTAATTAAACATTTTGAATGATAACAGCCTGGACCCTCAGGCATATTAGCAAACATTATTTCAGGTATTGATAAAGTTAACCCAGCCTAGAAGTAAAAATATGTGGGATCTCTGTTTACCCAAATATGAATCTAGATTGGATTTTTCGTTGTAGAGGAGGCAATATGTACCGTAACAAGCAAGAGCTTATCTGCTGTGTCACTGCAAATACTTTAATAGCACCATTTTAACAGGGGTCAGAAAGTGGACCATAAACTTCACTGGTTTCCTGCAGCAGCTTTTTAGAACTATTTTATCTTAAAGCACAGATACAATGCTGTAATTAACAAAGCAGGATACCATACAGCGGTATACCTTTTGGTGTGGGGATACAAGTTGATACAGCTGGTATGCTGGTATATTTCATAGGATGGGGGAACATATTTTTCATTTTAGTTTGCAAAACGACTAAACACGCAGCAAACTTGATGCAGATTAAATCCTAAATACTTAAGATAATGTATCAGTTTGGTTTCTGTTGGTAACATTCATCAGACCCTTCGATATATGAGGGTGTTAGCATACCTCTGAAATAAAACATTGACATATAGAGGATGATTTACTAAAGGAGTTCAAAATGTCCACACAATACATTGTGTAAAAATTTGCTTTAATTATTTAATCATAACAATTAATAATTGTTTATTTATTTATTCTGGACATGATTGGATACTTTAAGTGAATATTCACACAATGTATTATATGAAGAATGTTAACTAATTTAGTGAATCAGCATCATGTCATCTTATTTTCAAGAAAGAACCCATATTTGTAGAAAAGGATTATGTTATTGGGGTGTAGCATGTATTAGATTGACAGAATTTAATAGAACCTGAAGCAATAGATCTATGTGGTTTACAAATTGGTACCAAAAGTTAAATTTAACACATAAAACACAAAAATGCAAATTTCAGATACTACTTTTATTGTTGTGCCTGTATTTCTCATTACTACACAAGCTTATAATTCAAGAGAAAAAACATCCCATCCATACTAAATCTAGGCCAAGCTGGTAAAGCACAGTTCACTCTCTATTTTGAAGAAGCATTGAAAGTGATGGTATACATCATACTGGTTCCATCTGTAGTGAGTGTGTCTTTTATTTGTATCCACATTTCATTCAAAAAATATAGAGGAATGACATCAATTATTGTGCCCTACCTTATGGTGTGGTCTATAGTTTGTAGAATACATTAGATGGGTGTGAGATGCAATAACTTGTAAGATTCTATTGAAAATCACAAAGAAAATAAAGTATTCAGAACTACTGATTTAAAACAGTTTTAATCAAGATCTACAGTATGTTGGCCTCAGCTAGACATCAGTGTAATCTTATTGGATAAATGAGATCTCATTTTTATAAATTAGCTTCTTAATCCCTCTGCATGGTGGGCAGACATGTAGATTGTTATATACAAATCCGTTTAAAACAGGTAGAAATAAGCTGGATTGAAAGGTCGTGCCGGGACATGGGGAAGTCACGCCTGGCTGTCAAAGGCAATCAAGGAATCTGACAAAGCAGAGGAAACTTTCAAGCAATGTTTTATGGCAATGACATGACTGTATATAACAGGATGCAGTAATTACTGCTACTATATTTCATTTTAATGAGAGAATGCCAATAAAAGCAAAACACAAGAAAAATCAGGAAACAAATCACTACTCTGAATAGACTGATTAGCAGCATCCTGAACTGCCATGGGTAAATCCGGGAAGCTAAGTTCTCAGTGAGACACAGTATTGGCCCAAAATACCAAGACATGCAAGAGATATTATATCTGACTGCTACGTTTCATTATAGTCATCTTACAATGCTAAATACTGAAATGTATGCAGTTATTTTGGGATGTACAATACATAAAGCACAGCATCTGCTCTAAAGTAGAACTCTGAGATCCCTCCAGTCATGTGACCAGTGCTGGACCTGGTTTGGGGTACTGACATAGAAATGGAGCTGGTCAGTTTTTTACCTTGCATAAGCATTATCCTCCTCCTCCACAAAGGTCACGTCACCAATGCCTTGGCATTAATTACATGACAAGCTACATAAGGAAGCACTGACCTATTTTCAGTAGTAAATGTATGCTTTTCACAAATGCAATTTCAAGGTTGAATACTGTACTTGGACAACACATGTAGAAGAGATAAGTGAGCTTTATGGGAAGGGAACACAGCCTACCACATCAGCAGGACTCTGGCACAGAAATGTGTCAACTGACATTTTATTTAATTTGTGCTGAAGTGTAGCAACCACTACAGCAACCAACCAGTTATAGTACAGGAGTTGTAGTCCATTGTCTTAGCAATAGGTTGTTTTAAAAGCCAGGGACCAGAAAGCCCACCACTTTCATGTGTGAGGTTGACTATGGTCTGGCAATTTAAAATGTTTGCAAATATGCCATAACCTATATATCTCTTTTATTGGTGGAGTAAAATAGGCATCATTCTCTAATGTTTGCATCAGCAAGTAGCAAAATAGGTCCAAAAAGAGACATCAGTGTGGGCAAACATGATGAACCAAATAAGACATAATCTTGTTAAAAAAAAGAGTTATATTTAGTTGTAGAGTTAAGAAAAGAAAAATATTATTTTCTACTCTAATACACTTTTTTTCACAAGCCACAGGTTAACAAAACATCATATAGTCACATGGTTTGCCATCAAGGCCCAGAATATGATTCTGGTCCCATAAAAGAAAAATATTGCCAAGATCCAGCATGCCTTTTTCTCAGAAATCAGCATGTGCACTTTTTAACATATGCCATGTTTTATTGCACTGTCAGGCATCTTTAATAGCTTCAGACAAGAGGATACTGGGCTGTAATTCCCTGGAGTTGGCAGCCTTACAGTAAGAGATTCGTGGCAAAAGCTTTTTATCTTATGTTAAAATAACCATTGATTTTCTCTTTATTTATTGTGTCCAGGTCAGTATCAAATTAGCCAAATGCT